GGAGAATCACCTATTAATAGAAAAGCAGCAACAGGTGCTTCTATAAGTGACAAGCCTATAACAAAAAATGCAAGATTTGTACAAATAGCTTTATTTGTAAATAAGCACTGCAAAGACAGTAATCGAGATGCTAAAATTGCAAATAGCTGGACACTTACAAAAAAATATATATAGAAACTCAAAGATTAATTGAAAAGTCTGAATAAAGATTAACTGAAAAAGATTATAAAAATAATATATTAATACCATAGAAGCAAAGCTTGAAGATTTATATCCATACTAAAGCTTGAAGATTTATATCCATACTATAGTAAAATTGATACAATATATAGGCAAAAACAAAATGTTAAACCAATCTATCTTAAAAACTTTGGTTTAAATAATCAAAATTATAATGAGGATATATTAAGCAGTAAGTATAATTTTAGATTTTATATTAAAATATTTAAATTATGATATTAATTATATAAATTTTATAGAAAACAAAGATAATATTGATAATATTCAAAATTTAACAAATAATTTGTTTGATAATAGTGATATGAATAAAGAAGACAAATTGAAAAATAGTACTAATTTATTATTACATATTATCATTATATAACAAGTTGTTTAATTGGTATTTATTATTAAAAAGAAGATAGACAAAATGAAAAAATATTACTATCATTTATCTTAGATAAATTTACCTTGGATGATAATGATAATATATCTATATTAAATTGTAAATATATTATATTTTATTAAATATTTTATAATTTAAAATAAATACTTACATATAAATTAAAAAATAATATTTAAAGAAAGTGATAATAATAATAATAATCATAATAATAATTCAGATTATGAAACAGAAAATGATTTAACTAATACATATTTATTTATTTTTATATTTATTATTAAACATATGGGCCAATTTATACACTTGCTAATAACTTTTGATCTACTGATCCATGTTGAATGATTTTGCTACCAAAATAGATCAGTAGATCAAAAGTTATTAGCAAGTGTATAAATTGGCCTATATGATAGTATTTACTATTAATAAATAAATTAATATTTATTATAGAAGAAGAATTAAATAAACTGAATTTTCTAATATAAATAAATAAAAATATAATTTAAAAGATAATTTATCTAAGCATCAATGTTTAATAACATCAGACAAAAAATAAAAATAAAAAACCAATTTTTGCAAAGGATATATACCTTAATACAAAACAAAAAAGTCTTCAAATTGAGCAAGATTAAATAAAATTGAAAAAGAGATAGCTGAAATAAAGAAATATGAAGTTGAACAAAAGTTATTAATCAAAGAAAAAAACTTTAGTGAGAAAAAGACAAGACAGAAAAGGAAAAAATAAAAGATAAAAAAACTCAATAATATAATTTTTTTTAGAACTTATATGTCAAGAAAAATCAATTACTGATATTAAAGAAATATTAACTTTTTTTAATAATTTATAATTTAATTAATTATTATATAAGCAATATTTTTATATATTTAAACTCTTTCTGTAAATCACTTATACAAAACAAACTCTAAAAAATCTCAAAACAAAAATGACTATAATTTCTTAAA